TGGGGTTTATTCCCCCATGGAATTGGGGCTGATCCATGGAATTGGGGTTTTTTCCCATGGAATTTGGGTTTTTCCATGGAATTGGGGTTTATTCCCATGGAATTGGGGTTAATTCCCAAGGAATTGGGGTTTATTCCCACGGAATTGGGGTTTTTCCATGGAATTGTGTTTTTTTCCCATGGAATTGGGGTTTATTCCCATGGAATTGGGGTTTTTCCATGGAATTGTGTTTTTTTCCCATGGAATTGGGATTTATTCCCATGGAATTGTGGCTGATCCATGGAATTGGGGTTAATTCCCATGGAATTGGGGTTTATTCCCATGGAATTTGGGTTAATTCCCATGGAACTGGGGTTTTATCCCATGGAACTGGGGCTGATCCCACAGAACTGGGGTTTTTCCATGGAATTTGGGTTTATTCCCATAGAACTGGGGTTAATTCCCATGGAACTGGGGCTGATCCCACAGAACTGGGAAGGAATGGCTGCGGAATTCCCGGCCGGAATTCCCGTCATTCCCACCTGCTCCGTCAGCAGCTCCCACATGTTCCTCTTCAGCCTCCTCATGTCCATCCTCTTGGCGGCCTTGGCGTATTGGATCGGGATTTTATGGATCTGGGGGAGGGAATCCGGGATTATCCGGGATTATCCGGGATCGGCGCTGGGATCCGCTCGCGTCATTCCCGATTTCCCGTGGGAATAACGGCGAGCGCGGCCAGAGCCCGGAATTGTTCCTCTGGGAATGACGATCCCGGGAATTCCGGGAATCCCAGGGGTTAATTTGGGAATTGTTCCTCTGGGAATCCCGGGAATTCATTTGGGAATTGTTCCTCCGGGAATGACGATCCCAGGAATCCTGGGAATTAATTTGGGAATTGTTCCTCTGGGAATCCCAGGAATTCATTTGGGAATTGTTCCTCTGGGAATCCCGGGAATTCATTTGGGAATTGTTCCTCTGGGAATGACGATCCCAGGAATCCTGGGAATTAATTTGGGAATTGTTCCTCCGGGAATGACGATCCCAGGAATCCCTGGAATCCGGGGCTGTCCCGGGATTTTTAACCCTGGAGGTGCCGAGAGGTTTTTGTTCCAGCCCAGCCCCGGGAGGAATTCCCAGCCCAGCAGCTCCCAGCCATTCCCAGTCATTCCCAGTCTCTCCCAGTCATTCCCAGTCATTCCCAGTCTCTCCCAGTCATTCCCAGTCATTCCCAGTCATTCCCAGTCTCTCCCAGCCATTCCCAGTCATTCCCAGTCATTCCCAGTCTCTCCCAGCCATTCCCAGTCTCTCCCAGTCATTCCCAGTCTCTCCCAGCCATTCCCAGTCTCTCCCAGTCATTCCCAGTCTCTCCCAGCCATTCCCAGTCTCTCCCAGTCATTCCCAGTCCCTCCCAGTCATTCCCAGTCTCTCCCAGTCATTCCCAGTCCCTCCCAGTCATTCCCAGTCCCTCCCAGTCATTCCCAGTCATTCCCAGTCTCTCCCAGTCATTCCCAGTCCCTCCCAGTCATTCCCAGTCATTCCCAGTCCCTCCCAGTCATTCCCAGTCATTCCCAGTCCCTCCCAGTCATTCCCAGTCATTCCCAGTCATTCCCAGTCCCTCCCAGCCATTCCCAGTCCCTCCCAGTCATTCCCAGTCTCTCCCAGTCATTCCCAGTCACCTTCTGGGGCTCAGCGATCAGCTCCAGCTCCCCACAGCCCGGGATGTTCCCGCCGCCGATCCCGGAATTCTCCGGAGCCTCGGGATGAGCCGGGAGCTGGAAATGCCCGGCCTGGCCCGGGAATTCCGCGGGATCGGGATCGGGATCGGGATCGGGATCGTCGTCGCTGTCCGGGACCTGCAGGAGGGGCAGGGGGACACCGGAGTCACCCGGAGCTGCTCCGGAGGGCGGGAATTCCTGCCCGGATAATCCCATGGAACTGGGGCTTTTCCATGGAATTGGGGCTTTTCCATGGAATTGGGGTTTATTCCCATGGAATTGGGGTTTATTCCCATGGAATTGGGGTTTATTCCCATGGAATTGGGGTTTATTCCCATGGAATTGGGGCTGATCCATGGAATTGGGGTTTATTCCCATGGAATTGGGGTTTATTCCCATGGAATTGGGGTTTATTCCCAAGGAATTGGGGTTTATTCCCTGGGAGCGGCCCAGCCTGGGCGCCAGGATGCAGCTCCAGTTCCCTCCCTCAGGAATTCCCGAGGATTTGGATTTTCCCAGCAGGGAATTCCCAGGAATTCCCAAAGATTTGGATTTTCCCATCAGGGAATTCCCAGGAATTCCTGAGGATGTGGATTTCCCTAGCAGGGAATTCCCAGGCTCTGGAATTCCCGAGGATTTGGATTTTCCCGGCAGGGAATTCCCAGGAATTCCGGGGGATTGGGAATCACCTGCAGGCCGGGACAGAAGTTGGAAGTGTCGTTGGGATTGTCGTAGTCGTAATCCTCGATCCCGGCCTCGCTCTCCAGGGCTCCCGCTGGATCCGAGCTCCGGCCGAGCTGCGGGAAAAAATTCCAAAGGATTTTATGGAGAGAGGCTGGGCCTTGTCCCTGCAGAACCGTTCCCGCCCTTCCGGGACATCTGGGATGATCCCTGGGGTGGATCCATGGGAGTGGTTCTATGGGAATGGTTCTATGGGATCCATGGGAATGATTCCATGGGAATGATTCCATGGGAATGGTTCTATGGGAATGGTTCTATGGGATCCATGGGAATGATTCCATGGGAATGATTCCATGGGAATGATTCCATGGGAATGGTTCTATGGGAATGGTTCTATGGGATCCATGGGAATGATTCCATGGGATGGATCCATGGGAATGATTCCATCGGATCCATGGGAATGGTTCTATGGGATCCGTGGGAATGATTCCATGGGATGGATCCATGGGACTGGTTCTATGGGATCCATGGGAATGTTTCTATGGGATGGATCCATGGGAAAGATTCCATGGGATCCATGGGAATGGTTCTATGGGATAGATTCATGGGAATGATTCCATGGGATGGATCCATGGGAATGATTCCATGGGATGGATCCATGGGAATGATTCCATCGGATCCATGGGAATGTTTCTATGGGATGGATCCATGGGAATGATTCCATGGGATCCATGGGAATGGTTCTATGGGATGGATCCATGGGAATGATTCCATGGGATCCATGGGAATGATTCTATGGGAATGGTTCCATAGGGTGGATCCATGGGAATGATTCCATCGGATCCATGGGAAAGATTCCATGGGATCCATGGGAATGGTTCTATGGGATGGATCCATGGGAATGGTTCTATGGGATGGATCCATGGGAATGATTCCATGGGAATGGTTCTATGGGAATGGTTCTATGGGAATGGTTCTATGGGATGGATCCATGGGAATGGTTCCTGGGATGGTTCCCATTGTGATTCCCAGTGTGATTCCTGGTGTGATTCCTGGTGTAATTCCCGCTGTGATTCCCGCTGGGATGGGATTCCTGCTGTGATTCCCGGTGTGATTCCCGGTGTGATTCCCGGTGGGATTCCCGGTGGGATTCCCGGTGGGATTCCTGGTGTAATTCCCGCTGTGATTCCCGCTGGGATTCCCGGTGTGATCGGATTCCCGCTGGGATTCCCAGTGTGATTCCCACTGTGATTCCTGGTGTGATCGGATTCCCGCTGGGATTCCCGGTGTGATTCCCGCTGGGATTCCCACTGGGATTCCCGGTGTGATTCCCGCTGGGATTCCCACTGGGATTCCCGGTGTGATTCCCGCTGGGATTCCCGCTGGGATTCCCG